CAGAGGAGGAACCTGAACACATAATAATAAAACAGTATCACCCGTCTTCCCGCTTATTATCGATTTCCTCCAAGGAGCCACAGTAAACACTCAATACGTCCCTGTCGCGATCCATGGTAGTCGAGTAGATTGTGCTCTCTTAAGGACAGTCAGCCTGGCATTCCTTTCGTTCAGAGCTTCTGTGAAGGATAGCCAGTATGATTACGGACTAAAAGAACACTAATTTTCATCGCTGTAGGAATTTCGCGAGCTCCATTTGTCTAATCACTACTTTCGGTCGAATCTTCCCCGGGTGAGTTTACGATTCGTTCTTTCACTGAAACTCCTGTAGTAACAGTTCTCAATCAGGTAGAGCATCCAAGCTAACGTTCACCGAAACTAAGTGGTTTAAGCTGAGCAAGTTACAGTTACAACAATCAGCACACCCCTGCTTTTGTATTCTGAACAGGATACCTTTTGCTCTACCACGGGCACAGTTCCGTCGCAACAATTTTCTGTTGCCATTCCGCCGTTCACATATGCAGTGATGGTCCTTCTGTGTATACTCTGCCTTCTAACACCTACTCTGATAAAAAATTAAAAGTCGTTGACATCGTTTGATCCCGTTTTTGGAATGCGCCTCCTCATTCGGCTCCCATTCAGATTCGTAATGACGTTTTGATTGCGTATGTGACCTACACAAACAGTTGATAGCCGGCCGAGTTCAGATACGAGTTTTATCCTCCCTGACGAGACTGTGCCCAATTAAGCTACCCTGTAGGGACTTAAGGTTGGGGTCTGAATGTGTACCGACCCAGATTCGATCTCTGAAACATATGCTCTAAATTTGCCACTGTGCCACTAAATTTTGGCACAGCGCGAACCTTTTTTTGACAATTTTCATCGTTAGAAGAAGGCGTAAGCGGGAAAAAGGGAATGTAAGCCGGGGTTCAATCGCCGCACCCAGAAATAATCCCAGGTGTGGCTCGTGCTTAAATGGAGTCTGAGATGAGAAGATCCTGAATATGTCAGCAGAGGAAACATCGGACCTTTCGGTATCCCACAATCGAAGTCTGACCTCTGACGAAATTAACGACGGCTGGGTATCGGATGACTATTAATCTTGAAGAGCTTCAGATCTTCGAGCATTTTTTACCTCTGGTTCTAAAGAAAGTCGAGTAACTATTATGTACGCATGCCCTATGATGAAAGACTTTGAGCTATGAGTGACACTGATGAGGAGAAGGGCATTTTTCATATCCTTCGACACTGGAATGACTCCTAGACCTATACTTTGAGCATAGCATGCATCTTGGAGCTTTACGAAGATAGCTGAAGATTTTCCCTAGCTAACTTTTTAACTTTTTTTAAATATTATTATACTTCACCTTTTCATTCGATACTACTTTTAAGTAATCGGAGATTTCCGTATTGAAGTTAAGCACTGAAATGATAAGCGGATCAGAACTATCAAAACTACTATTTGAAAGCAGATGTGCGATCGGGTGAGATGTTACATTTTTGTGTAAAAAGTGATCCTTAGTAACATTCATGCTGGTGCCTTTTACATTACGAATTATGAGATGTAAGAATTTTTCTCTCTCCGTAATGGTGCCTTAGAGGCCCACACTCTTACATATTTGTAACTGCACTTGAGTAAACGGATGGATTTAGAAAACTTTAACTGTAGTTGTCCCGCGAACTGTTTCCCTACTCCATTGCTTAGAGGTACATCATCGCTTATGCGGATTCCAAGTCGAAAAGTCTTTCGGCCGATTCTTTAGGCCCCTGAACGCGATGGAATGAAACTACACTCTGGTTATTAGAGCTTATCTTTTTATTCTGCTCGTACTATGTTTTATGTGATGCTTTTTTTTTGGTCCTCTGAATACTGAATACTTGAACTTCGTCCTCGCCTTGCTTGATCGCTGCTCTTCCTTGTGCAGGATTTGAGTTGTTATAGATCACCTGTATCACCTACCATCCTGTTGATTGTCGATCTCATCGGGCGGGCGCCTGTAACCTCTCCATTCGTACCTATCGCGAGCCCGCAAGCCAGAGCAGTCCAGTGAATCGTACTTGCTCGAGGGACACGAGGCAACACATCTTTTTCGTTCAGAGTTTTCGTGAAAAAGTCCGACCATGGGATTGGCGGCCGTCCTGGTGATCCCTTGACGTTCCGAGGCGTAAACAGGCATCCCTGATCTTCGTTCGATGACGGAGCTAGCAACCTCGAAATCCCTTTTGCACATACGTGAATAGAGGGATTCAGGGCATCGTCTTTCCAAAGCGTGTTGAGTAACGCTGACAGCATGTTCATCCTGCTTTCGTAAAGTCCAAGTCTGCGATCTGTACGTCAAAGCGGGTAGGACAGCAGTGTCAAAAAGGTGAGCGCGGAGCCGGGTATTCTCCGTTTTCTTCACTACTCCCTCGATGTTCTCAAATGTTCCCCACGCCGCACGTTTCCGTACATCAGGTACCAATCCGTTTCGCATGAACATAGTCTTCGTTAGGTTCAATCGTAATCCGATCTTTCCACAAGCGTTATCGAATTGGGCCAGCATTTGTTCCACATTATGTGTTATTGTTATTGTGTTATGGTGTTATTCGGAATGGGAAGGTATGTGAGTGGAATTCAACGGTCACTGCTCATATAATCTCCGCTTTGGACAGTTGCTTAAGACGCTAAACATTAGCAGGCGGGACGAATGCTGGTCAAATTCGGCAACGCTCAAGGAAAAATCGGCCGAAGACTGGCTCTAGCTACGACGACGTTAATATGAAGCGGATCCTACCCGATGCTCCTTTTAAGCTAAACGGAGAGAATATCTACGAATGTTCTAACTATGTGCATTTAGGTCAATAAGCTTAATAATGAATGTCCTTAATCTCCTAACTGAACAGAAGATAAGGGAGAGAGGAGTAGGTGGAAGGGCGGAATGAGCGTAACTTGAGTAGAAGTACGTAGGCCAAAGAGAGACAATAACTTATTCGTTTAGACAAAGCTTTTATGAAGTTGAATGGTGGATCTATTCAAAAAAGAACAGCATGGTGAGTTTTTTATTATAGCGAAGTGTTCACAGGAAGTACAATCCTTCAAACTTGTAATTACCACTGAGTTCCTCATCTTGAAGAATAACCTGACCCTCGATGTTGAATACGGTGATATATGTGGCCGTAGAATCACCCACTTCCTTCGACTTTAAGGCGACAATAAGATCATCGTTAGTGTCAGGAATGAAGGCGAAAGCCGAGTATCCGCGTTCAGGAACAACTTCACCAACCGTTTTGAACTCGAATTGGTCGAGATTTGTAGAACTTATCAAGAGATTGGTACCGCTGAAAAAGTTTTGTTTAATGTGTGCTACTTACTATGTGAAGCAAGTATAACGTACCTCTTTTCATCCACTGTTTCATTATAGGGAGTTTTCGACGCTTTTCTGGGTAAGAAGAACCAACGTCCTCGTCTCGCTGACCACTGAACGGCTTCATGTGTTAGGTATCCTTCTTCAGGAATACCGACAAAAGCCTTCATTTTGTTGTAGATACCGATCCAATTCTTGTTGGTGACCTTGATATATACGATGATAGAACTAGTTCAATTAACTCTGAGTCACTTAGAAAGAAAACCAGAGCTAGCTATAATTCGAATACTCAAATGGATATTCTGCTACTAAAAGGGGGAAGTGGCGGGGACGCAGAGGGCATCAACTGGCGTAAGAGGAGGTCGAGATATTTCTCAAGGATTCATGCATTCGCTACAGACTCATTCCCTGTACACAACGTTTTCAGCCTGACAAAGTAGAGAGTCCGAAATAGGAAGTAATCAAAATTAACAGCANAGCAGTGAGCTCATAAGCATGATAAAGCGTTAGCATTCACTGATGAAGCGATCAGGAGGTTTACGACAGTATGGGTGATACGAATGTTTTGAGAAGGATGAGCGATATGTAGATGATCTTGTTTCCTTCTAAGGAGAGTGTGCTACAGAACGACGCGTCAGGTATGCTTCCTGCGACGAGTGAACACTTAACTTATAAATCGTGTCAATATTGGTAAATTGGTAACAATACTGAACTTCACTTAACTTGCTCAACCTTACCTCTCCTTTTGAAGTAACTGTTTTAACCCACATGTTGTTTCGGTGTGAGCCGTGCTTAGTTTTATACTCCTGAAAACAACAACAGTAACAAAATCGAGCTAAAACTAATTCATGTATTGAGTTTCCATAGAATCTCTTTTCCAGAATTCTGTAAAAGGCGGACTAAATAATTTCGAAGTGCCCAAGTATTGAGCAGAATAAGTGCATCTTCACGTTAACAAATCGCGCTCACAACGCCATGGCTTCCAACGTAGAGCAAACCATCCTTGATGGTCATCCATTCGCATTTGAAAGCGTCAGTCGTGTTTCCAGGGCCAGAATTCAGGAATACCCAAGGAATAATCTGAATAGCCTCATGATCCGATAAGCGAGGGATAAAATGAAGGCTGAACAGTTCCTATTACTTGATTGTCTCTGATTTCACTGATCAGCCCGGTCCTGTCGTCAGGGGTGAGTACTCTATTGTGAAACACCGTCAAGTCGGATAATTCCATAGCACGACCTTTGACGTTCATTGCCCTGAATTGCGTGCATTACTCAAAATAGTTGATTTGATGCGTATACTATCGAACGATGAAACGCTATCCTCAATCATACTAGGTCGAATTGTGAAGTCGAATAAGTGATCTCCACTGAGTATGTTACACCGCACTATTAACTCAACATCTCCTCGTGAACGAGTTCCCATTACCTATATGTATACTTTGGTGAATCTCTCAATCTCAAATCTTTGCTCTTACAAATAGAGGAGAACTGTTGTAATGCCGACTTATTGGTAAGGGACTCCTATTGCTGTATATGGAACGATGAACCAAAGGGTAGCTAGACTGACAATTCAATCAAATTATCTTACCTGCATGAGCGCTGATGTTGCACAGGTGCTATCAGTAGTCCTCACTTTTTGAAAATTTGTTTTTTGTCACGAATATGGTAGCGTTCACAGAAAAAGGGGCTCAGGGTGGGGCATATACTTCGGCAAAGGATTTCAACTGACCAGTATTCCCTTTCTATTTACATGCTCCATAAGTATTGTTGCAACTATAATTGACTCCTTTTGATTTTATTCTAAACCAAAACCACTCACATATCGATTACTTTCCTTGGCCTGCTTCTCCCTTATCCTCCAAACTGTCCTCCTCACGATGAGAAAACAAGAGAAATATTTAGTTAAGTACTTACGACGTCAAGTTTCTGTCTGGGTCCCACTTGATGCTCACGTGAGGGTTACGATGAATATCCAACTTCAAGAGACCTTGTCGGGTAACAGCTCTCCATGTCCAGTCACCAGCTTTTGAAGCCCTATCGAGGTCGGTGACGATTAGCAATTTGTATTCGGTACATCCATTGCCGCATTTGCGAATGTAAGGTTGAGACTGCAAAAAATATGTAATGCGAAAGTAGCCCTTAGCTAGAGCATTGTTTATAGTAGAGCAAAACAGTTCCGGCAAGAGTTGGATGTGAAACTCTAATGCAGACCTCTCGTTGCCTTGCTAGAAGAGTGTTTCCTGAAAGAACTATTCGCGTATAAGGATCTCAAAAAGAAAAGGTTCTCAAAACAACCTATGTAGCCTGGAGGGAGGGCATCGGCTAGTAGAACCTAAAAGTTTACTGAATGATTTTTCAAAGATAATTATTCGAGTGAATTGTGGAAACGAAACGTACGATTGAAAGGAGATACAGGAACATGTCAGACGGCAGAAGCTATGAAATCCAGCTGATTGCTGATTTCCATGCTTCATCTAAGTGGGATCTGCTTTTATAGAGAATTCCGCTCTGATGTAATGAATTGTAGAAACAAGATAGCAAAAATGTTTGTTTTCAGTTAGCGATCATGTATAAATTTAGACAGGATCCATTTACGGATCCGTATGCTTGGTTCGTCCGCTTTATGCTATTTACATTTCTGAAGGTGGAAACTTGAACACATAATTATAAAACATGGTAACACCTGTCGTCCCGTGGATTATCGATTTCCTCGAGCGAGTCGCAGTAACGTCTCCATTCGTCCCTTTCGCGATCCATAGTAGTCCAGTAGAACATGCCCTCTTTAGGAAAAGGGGGACGAGCATTTCTTTCGTTCAGAACTTCCGTGAAAATACAAAGTATAATTACGGAATGAAGGCACACCTGTCTGTTCGCTGTAAGAATCTCCCGAGCTCCATTTGTCCATACACTACTTTCGATCGAATCTTTCCGGTCTTTATTTTTACGATTCATTCCTTCACTGAAACTCCCTGTAGGAGCAATTCCCAATCAGGTAGAGCATCCAAGCTATTGCTCACCGAGCTAATTGGTTTTATACTTCAGCAAGTTTCAATTACAACAAGCAACACACCCCTACTTTTGTATTCTGAATAGGATTCCCTTTGCTCTAGCAAGGACATAGTTCCTTCACGATAATTATCTGTTGCCGTTCACATAAACAATGATAGTTCTTTTGAATATATGTACGTTGCCATCTGTCACCTGATAAAAAATTGAAAGTCGCTGACAACATGATCCCGTTTTGAAGCGCCCCCACATTCGGCTTCCATTCAGAATCGTAGTGACGTTTTGACTGCGTATATGGCCTATACAAACACCTGGTAGCCAGTCGATGTACAGCTCAGTGCTTTGATTCTCGCTGACAAATCTGAGACCCGTTACGCTTCCTGAAGGGACTTGAGGCTTGATCGGTTTTTGCAAAAACGGATCCGGATTCGATCCGTGGAACATGTGTATGCGATAGTGCGCCCTACCTTTGTCTCTCGAGCCTTTTTTGATCGTTTCAATCGTTGAAAGAATGAGCACACTGGAGGAAAAGGAGAAGTAAGCCGGGATCTAACCGCCGAAGTAAGGAATAGTTTCAGGTGTCTCTAGTGCTTAAATGGAGTTCAAGATGAGAAGATGCTGAATATATCAGCATAGGACTAAGGAATTATTGGATCTTTCGATCTCCCACAACCGAATAATTGCCCCTGACGAGAAGATCAGAATGATTGGAGGAATCAGATACGAGAAACGGGAAACCCTTAGGTCTCTATCTGACACCTGCAAAGCAGAAACTAATGTATGATTTTTACTCTTGGCCACCTTGGTATACCCTAGTGGAGTGAAGGAAAAGTCTTCGGGCAATAATCAATCCCGTTCGAGGTTGTCGCACCCACGCTTTCGACTTCCATTCAGAATCAGAGTGGCGTATTGAATGCGTGTTTAGACTTGCGGCGGCCAGCCAATGCACAGGTCAGTCCTTTTATCCTACCAGATGATAGTCTGGATCAATTAGCCGACCCCAGGAGCAGAGAGCTTGGTTGCTCTAGGTGGATATCTATGGGGATTCCAACCCGTGACCACGCCTTTGTAGTAGTGCGCCACTTCCCACTGCACCACCTCCGCCCTGCGCCCACCCAGGGCAATAACGCAAGGCAGCTCTCTGCAATGACGTATGTTCCATCTTATATATCTTCAAACGCTGATCACTTGATCGTCTTTCATATGTGCTGTTTGAAATAAGTTACAGTTGCTTCCGACTGAATATGTCCACCACGTAATACAAAGGTACTAGTTAAATTCTTTATAAATAAAGCTTCAAAACTTCGAAATTTACACATTCTATAGACTGCGAGGAAGGTTTGGGGATATTCAGGCGTTTTGCTGGTCATGACAAACTGAGTAACTTTAATACACTTGAGATAAGGTGTGGAAGGGGTGATTCGCCTACTGTAGTGACAATAACGGTTGCAATTATTTAACGGCCTAACAAAAGTCACTATTTCATCGATCACCGGATTCGCAAACCTTGAACGCAGCCTACGATCAAGAATGGAAATAACACGGTACGAAAGAGATTCAATAAATTATAAACTAAATAACTCTAGGCGACCCTAGCCGTGACAGTGGTCAGTCCATCTGTCTCCATATTAACCGTATCCAAGATTTCCATTGTCTGCAACGGTTCTGCTGTAGTTGTCGTTGTAGTCGTCGTTGTCGTTTCTTCTTCAACGTAGTCAAACTTTGCTCCGGCATCAACTGTAAGGATGCATTTCAGTGAAACAAACTGAATGGATCACCTGCAGAAGGTGTCCCCGGAAGGTGAAGAGTAAAATGTTATACTGACCTGACTAACTATTATTTTTAAATCATAGAAACAGTGGGAAAAACCAAATTATACGTACTGCGGATTACTCTTGCAACTCTAGTACTGTTACTACCCCAAGTCAGATGTCAATACGAATAGGAATGAAAATATAGCTTATGAGATGCTCAACTAGCACATTCTCAAAGCCAAAGTCGACAGGCCAGATCCTATGGAACATTTAAGCATTAAGTTTCGCTTTGAGCCACTGCTCTACACTCTCAAAAAACCTAAATTGATGAAATAATTCGGAATGAGTGTATTTCCCTCGAATACTATGCAGAAAACTTCTTACAATTAGTATGGGAGCAATGAGTTCGTTACACTAGCGGTAGGAACAGAAGGACCTGCACTTGAAAGACCCCATAACCTTCACGCACAAATAGTAATTTTGCTTAAATCAGCCTTGCGTCCATTTAGCCCGACATTTGTCCGAGAAGCTGGAAATCTGTTTTGTGCACATGCTGACTTTGTAGGCTTTTGGTAAGATGTGGGTGGGAGGTGTTGTGCGCTACAACGCGTACGGTACCGTACTCTCTGGGTTCCGTTGATATGACCAAAATCGATTGGGAAAATAGAAGCACTGTCCTATACATAGACTTGTCTCTACATTCAATACAATTCCAGAAGAAAGGCGAATGCATAGGCGCTTCCGTAAACGCGGTGAATAACCTCAGTAGTTCTTGGGTCAATCTCCCTAATGTTGATGGCGCTTAGTCATCGGTAGGAACCCAGTGAAATTGTTTTTCTCCAGTAGGATGTCACCGTTTAGGTGTAATGGCTAGCTCCATTTCCACTTCCTAGTGGTGCCTCCTGATCCATACCTTCTAAGTGAAAAAGCTATACCACCAAGTTAGTTCGAAAGCCATCAGAGAAACAAAGTTGACTGTTCAATTTATGACTAGAGAAAGGGATTGATTGATCATTGTGGATCTCTCTTTATTTACACATACAGAAATTCAGGGGAAGAACACCCAATCAACTCTTACCGTAAGTATATTCGAAAGTGAGCGAAATCCCAGTATTACGTGATGTCACAATGAATGGAACAATGTTGGTCCTGGATAGAATTCGTCGCTGATACGCTTGTTGACAACAGAATCTGAAGTTAGGTATTTCTTGAGAATACGGTACAGGTTGAGATTGTTTACCGTACCTGTAACCCACAGGCCGTACATCATTGGACATTTTGAATTCGACACCGTCTTCCCAACAACCTTCCACACATCGTCCGTGTACTTGAACAATATTCACCAATAGTCGCTTTCCTTGAGGGGCCTGAAATAGCCTCTGCTGATCTTTGCTATAGTATGTGCGATCAGATGTGACAGTTTGGATTTCAAAAACGTGGGAAGGAGAAGAGCTCCCGAGCACACGCACTACTGATCGAATCCTAGTGTGGTAAATGAGTCTTTCCATCTATCCTTTCCAGGGCTAGATATGGGCTGGCTTGTGAGGAAGAGGGAAATTATACTCCACATATGCGATGAATCCCGAAATACTCAATCGATACTAGTAATTCACCCCTTTCCGAGATCATTTCCATTATGGTCATGAGCTTCTGCATTTCCGACTAATCTGCTGACCGCTTTACCAAAAACGACTTAAGGGAAGCTCCATGCGCTCAGGCTCTCAGTTCGCCATACAGTTACCAATACTACATATAGTCGGTGTAGTGGCAAATGGCGCACTATCACACATGCACGGTCAGTGGTTGGAATTCAAGAAAGGTACTCATTGAAACCAAGGATCCCAATCCTCCAAGGTCAGTCTATTGGTACCGGATTCTGGGAGGGTAAAAGCACTTGCTGGTACATCAGCTTGCCACTGCTCGTTATTATATATGTGGGCCAAGCCAGATAGGCATTTAAACCGCCTTCAAATGGGAGTCGAATGGCTTCCCGATAAGGGGAAAGGGGGTAAAGGGGTAATTTCAAAGACTTCGAGCTCCTTTTATTACGTCCAGCATCGCGCAGCACAAAAGCATCCATTCTTCTACACCCATGCTAATGGTTTTTGGAGGTATAAGAGCTCTGATGAGTATTGTAAGGGCTTGAAAGACGGCGATGTGATTAGGCCTCTCTTCCCCATCGCTAGCGACTCTCATTTACAGTACTAAGCGCACCATTTTTAGGTTCTGAAGAAGTACGGTAGAACAAGGAATGACAGTATACCTTAAGATGGTAGATGCACTGCTTTGTCCGTTTTTGACCGATTTGTTTAATATTGATGTCAAATCTACGAACGGCTTCATAAGCGATCAGTTCCCCACCGCAACCTCTCGAGAACGATGGCGGTATTTCATTGCATAATTGGCCACCGAAACCAGTAGGACATCTAAAAATAGAACCGATATTATAACTTGGAAATACTGGGAGTGCAATACTTCTATAGCATTGGCCATAAATCCTGCATTATCCAGTGTTTTTGCACAGTTTCTATTTCCAGAATCTTCTTAAGTGGCAGCTACTGGCAGACAGTACTATGCCCTTCGAATGATCACAAGTGTGTTTCTCAGGGGTGAAAAAACTGAACACAAGGAGCGCTCGCTAAAAATAGGTTTAGGAATTGAGTCATCTTCGGGAACCTAGAAATTTAGAAATTAACAAAGGACTGTATAATCTACAAGATGGGCCAAAATTATGATTACACAGACGTCACATCCCCGAAAACGAATAGGAAGCTGATAAAGCCAATCATTTTCAGATAAGCCTTCGTCATTAGTTTCTTATTGAAATAGCACATTGACACTGGGACCTGTTACTTTCTGCTTTCGCCCGACCCCAAAGACGACGATCGACGACATTGATAGTGGCACGCAGCTAAGGTCATCGAGTTGATCCCATCTTTTGCAAAGCACTTTCTAGATTATTTCACTTCTTGCTTGGGTTAACGGATGCTTTTGTCTCAGAGGCTGTCCATATTGAGACATCCGCGGGATTCAGGTCAGGATTGCAGAGTGGTCGCTGATTGAAGGTTATGAAGTCAGGTAACCCCTTTTGCGAAACTTCTAGACAATTTCTGATCTGCGGTCAAGAGCTTCATCTTAACAATATGTCAGGCTTGAATCGCCGAAGTGTCCTATTGCGCACGACGGAATCGAACAGGTTTTCAGATCAACTTTTTCTCCTTTATTAACATAAATAATCGGTGTCTATGCCTCAGCGGTGATGCTAGCAGAGGCCATCACAGAAAGTTAGTGAGCCAAGTGCTGTATCACTTTCATTTCTTTAAGCTTCATACAAATCTTGTCGCCCTGCTTATTGAGCATATTTTGCACCGCGAATATGTTTTCGTCGGTGAACAGAAATTCCGTAATACAACTTTTTAGAATGCGGCGGGGCAACTTTTGTGAGCAAACTTTTCTCTTCTCTTTAGCCTGCTCACTGAGGAAATCACTCTGATCGTATAAAGGCGTTGCTGTGCAGATGATGCTTCACGATTTCGCGCGGAAAACTTCGTGAGATATCCATTCATTTAGCTATTTTGGGCTCAGAATGAAATTCGCTGCTACGCAGACCTTCGCCCTGCTTCCTTAACACTCCTCCTAAATATGACCGCAGGCCCCTTGGGTTTACCACTCCTGTCTGCAATTATTCCCGACTCTCGAAAGCGTCTTATGATTGAACGTGCCGCCTGGCTCGTTACGCTAAGTCATCTGTAGGTGCACCGTGCCAAAAATGCTTGTAAATGCTAGGTGACGTTTGATTCATAGAGTAGTGACGCTTATATTATTTTCAAAAACTACCGGAAGTCTAGTATTATTAGGAAGGTAATAGTGTGAGCTACCTTGTGAAATGGAAGAAAGCGAACGAATTGTTATGAGCTCAGAAAAAAATTTGCTATGAGCGTTAGCGTGCACTGTAATCATAATTTTGGCCCACCCTGTAGACGCAGTACAACTTTCTTACTCGGTACATGTGGTGCCTCCGCTCCCCACTTCTTGTATGGGTAACGGGTTACATCATACGATAGTAAAAACGCTACTGCAGATGTAAGGTGGGTTATTTAGTAGTGATTAATAATTAATAGTAGTTATAATTAACGAACTTGCATCGATTACATGTTCGGCTATCGATGAAGCCACCGTTTTGGCAAGGAAGTGCTCGTGGACATCGAGCTACAAACAACTGGTATATTACCTTTTTAATGACTTTCGTTTTGGAGAAAAACCAGTAGAAGCTAATAGAACTGCCTACCTTGACAATTGTAGTGAAGATTCAGAACTAAAATGTCCAAAAAAGATGGTCCTTCCATTTGACCCATTGTCTGCTGCAAATTGGGGTCCACTGTGGTCAATGCCGGTATCTGTTTGAAGGCTGAGAACCTGGATCAAAAAAACTGACTCTGTGTTGTGGAAAAGAAGGAAACTTCTACACTTAAGGAATTGTTTGAAGAAATTTTGATTGTACAAACTTTGATCCAAAGAATTTTCGTCCAATTGAAAGAGTTGTAAAGCCAAAATGTACAAGCTAGGCCATCAACTATTAAACATGTCAGTTAGCTTTTGAAGTTCACTACAACATTAGAATATTTCCTAAATCGCCTGTTCGAATTCAGTGCTTGTATGTTCTGTTTAGAGCCGTTTAGTGAATTTATTTAACAAATAAATTTACAAATATATATTCAAATATCCAATATTACAAATAGAAGGGCTACCAACAAGTGATTCACCTTTTTTCTCTATCTGGAGCTGAATTCTCGTAAATAATTTTCATGTGAAGAATTTTCGAGAGTTTTTTAAACAAAGTAAAACTTACTCGGTTGGAGTGTAATGCATGACGCTGCCGACATCGTACGGTAGCCGATACGTGCTTAGCTCTTTTGGACCAATCTGAATGGATTGCAGTTTATTTTTATCGGAATTTTTGTTCTAAATTCTTGACTCGTGAATAAAAATGAAACAACCGGTCATGGGCAGTCGGTTTGGGCGTGACTTTAATTGGATTTCTATTCTGTTGATCCGAAAAATTAGCACGAAACTTAATAATGAGAAAAGAATAAAAACTCACTTTTGCAAAGTTGAAGAGAAGGGTTGGATCGACGACATTACGATTGAGTTGCACGACGGCATCGCGATCATATCGTGATTGCTCATGGAAAACTCCCAAGGAATGAGCCAATTCATGTGACGTCACTCCAAACTGTAAAGATTTCCCTGAGTAGTATTGATGGAGTGTACACAACCTTTACAGCCTCTACGATGCCGTGATAACTCGTGAGCCTATGGGCGTGTACGTTGTATGGTTTGGGGACCTCGTTAGTTCCTTAGACCGCTTTTCTAACCGACAGAGCCACTTGCGCTATTCTTGAAAGCCAAAGGTTCATCTTAGCGAGAAATTTCAGGGACTATTTTAATCTTGAACTGTGCCTTCAATTTATGCGTATTAGACTTTTGTGGAGGCATGTTTGCGCGATCTTTTATTGCGATCTCCATTGCTGCATCGAAACGCTTGAGTACAGTCAGAGCGGGTACCTCGGCAACTCATATAAAGTTCAACGAATAGGTTAGGTGGCCTCTTCGTACATTGCAGAACATTGTATTATTTTCAAAGTATAAAAAATCAAAACTGTTTTAGAAGTAGTAAACTGACATGTTCACATCCTCGTCCAATGCTAACCACCTGACGACCAATCGCCTCGTCTTTGCCAACGGTACTCCAGCATCCGACGTCGTTACCGATGAATTCGACAAAATGTTGTTCATTCGTACGTGGACGGAAGTTGATGCACGTTTCAGCTTGCCAGAAGTTGATTGCTCGAACCACATTTTCACGAGCCCGACCGTCTGTAATGGTTAGGATGGATCGTTATGAAATCTATAAAAAGGAAATACAGTGCTGGGCAGAAAACTCATATTTTACTTCGTTTATTTATTTATTTGTCTTGGTTTTGCATAAATTTCTTGGCGACAGGGGCGTAAAAATAGCAATGAAGGACTAATCAGAGTAGTATCATCTATTTCTATTACTTGTGACAGCATCTTTTCTGTTACCCTCGGGGGTCATTGGGTAGAAAGAAAATCAATGGAAGAGGTGGTTTTCAAACGGGATTAAAAAGATTCTTTAATTTTTTTCTGTAGAAATGTGCAGATGACGGCTTTTAATGACGTCAAATGTTTTTTTTTTCAATTTTGTCAACGATAATCAACAAAAATTTGAAATGTCATTCAGAAGATGAAATTCTGCCTCTTGGGGCTGGAACAAAAATGACCACAACGGTGACAAATCTCTTGCTTTTCCAGAAAGGTGCTCGTAGCCCCAATTTCATTTCCCTGGCTGATATGATGTGATATGATATATGATATGCTTACTTATTGTCTATTTTTAGGTAATGCGCTTGCTGACTAGGTACAATGAAGGGTTGCGACAGTCCTTTACTTTTACCTATCATTTGGCTTTTCCTCAATTTTGTTTGCTCCCTTTTATTTTGAATTTTTGCATTTCTGGGATAATACAAATAAAGTATTAACTATTTTTTCTAGTTTAAATGGAAATTATGCTCTTACAAACAGACGGATGAATGGAATACGGTACTCCTGAAGACCAAATCGTTCTTGGATACATGTAATCCACATAAGCTTTTCGCTTCCTGAGACGACTTCTATGCGGAATGGAGTTGGCAACGATTTCCTCTAGTCGATCAGGATGCAATACCATGTCGGATTCGAACAGTATCGAACTGAAGATTATCGAATAATTTGGGGTTATGGTAACCGAATGAGTACTTTCTAAACACTCTGATCTGATGAACTTAAGCGTAGATAGAATCTTTTCCAGTTTCAAATCAAGTCACTTTGATTGCACCATGCACTTGTAATCAGAGAAATATCGTGAGAGCGAATCGTGCCTTGTTTTTGAAGTATTGTAGGGTACAAACAGCAGCTACACCGAAAGCCCTTTGTAAACTACAAGCTACAAAATTGTGAGCAGGAGGGGAAGATCGCTATGAGAAGTCGCGAATTGCCAAGTTGAGGTTAAAAAAAGAGTGAAATTTTCGTGGCCGTTATTCTCGCAGTTAATGCTCCCATAGAACAGAGTGCCTTTCTGAATAGAATTAAGCCAGTCTCTTTTCTCATCCCTAACTGGCGGAACGCTACGTGGCCTAGGTAATCTCGTCCCCAAAGCAAATATGCGATACCAGACCAGTTGGCTATGACGGCTCTTTCTTCTCTGTAGACCGAGGTGGAAGAATGGAATACTTCAAGATGCAGAGTACGCTATATATTCGATTTCAATAAGAGTTCCTAGAGCGACATTCATGGGGTCTATGGATTGGCTTGAAATCTTGGTTTACGTTTAAGGTGGTGATTTCTCCCTGCCAGACGAGCATTAGAAGTATGAAGAAGGTTCAATCGGATGGTTGATCATTTCCCAACTATGTGCACTACACAAATAACAGGCAGTCCCTACTCCACTTCTGTCTGGAGGATGGACTTTGAGGCAGAGTGAAATCGAGAAAGATTACCTGTATTTTTCATTCAGCTTCTTGATGGAAAATGAAGGAACGTCATGCTCAATGACGCTTGCGGCATCCTAAACAGTTTTATCACCACAAATATGCATTTAGAGTAATAGGGGCCGAATTGAGCGATATGGATCCTTACAAAAGAAGTTGGTCTGCCCTCATATTCGCTTGCAACGATAGCGGACAACGTGTCGAAAAGTCGTTGATGGGCATGCGGTTGAAGGAGATCCGTTAACTAAACAGAGAAATACTTATAACTCACGATTAGTCTGTCAAATTCACTCAACAGTCCCAGACATCCCAGGTAAGTATGCCATGCTGTCACGTGAGAGCAGCACAACTTCGTCAGTATGCCTATGATAAGACAACGCCTACTGCGGCTCGTGTGAAGTGGGGTGAGGGCTCAGGGTGTTCAGGAGTAGGTATTGAATTTCATGGTGAATCGCCCTAGGATGTGCCCATTCTTCTTGTTTTATAGATTCAACAGAATCATTCGAAATCGAGCTATTTGAATCGAAAATCGGGTTGGCCATATATCTACTGATGAGACCTTTCATGATACGCCAGAAATGTTAACGAATATGGTGGATTCCTTTAAGTCTCAACTAATTCGATATTTCCCTCTGACAGTAACGCCATTTTTGCTTTTTTTGACCATGTTGAACCCACTATTTATGTGGTTGGTTGCGTCGATTTAAGTGCATAAATAAACATGTAAACAAATAAATTTATTGCTCTCAGCTTCTCAGGCAGTTTGATCCTACCATTAGCCATGCCGAACTTAATTCCTGCTTATCTCTCCATGATTCATGTAATCTGACATTAGCGTATCGTAGGAGTGAAAAGTACTAGTAAATCCAGATAAAGTATTTATTTAGACAACATTTTAAAGTTTTGAGTCGAACATGTACAACCGTTCCATTAGAAACCTGAGCTTAGGGAGCTTTAAGTGATGGAATAATTTTTGGATCTTGCAGCCTGTTAAACTTACAATCCGTTTTAACTACCCATCACATCAGAACTTTCAGAAACGAGGTAATTTCTGAGTTTGACGGAATGAGAAACGGATCAAATCTTCGTAAATTATAAGGCGTTCGAGTTTTTGATAATTGGGGATGTAAAAGAATTTCGATGTTGTTGTGCTATGCAGGTTTTTATAATGGGAATTATTAGACCCGTTTACGTCTACTTCAAGGCCTTGAAAGTGGATCGGAGGCCGAATAGATTATAAATTTAGAACTCCGTAACACCCTCGGAGGACCCTTGAAGACGACGATTTGTTCGGAATTCCGGCATTAGGAAGCTGTTCCAGATAACGTACCTCAACGATACGGAAGTACGTATAAAAATGTTTTTGAGTCAATTTTTTATAGCATGGAGGGGCAGGAACGTGTCCAAATGTAAGGTTAAAATTAGACTCCAAGCCCCGCTAATTGTCTCTGCTCTGCTTTCTAGGATAGTACCATTTCATTGATGGTCTTTCTTTCTAGTTTCAAATCGAAAAAAATACGTAATCGAAAAATCGAATCTAATCCAATTAAAACATAGCTAGTGGTAGTCTGAGTGATGTCAGATTGCTCCGTTCACGAATTATTCGAAAGAAATTGTAGGAAATTCATGGACCCTTCGAGTAAACTGATCTGTACGAAATAAAGTAATAATTCCGTAACTCCGTTAAAGGCACAGTTCAAGATAAAAATATTTTTGACATCTCACCATCGGATGAGTTTGGGGCCATTACTAATACCATACGTGCCGATGTCGTGTCAAGAAACGTCCTGGATAGAGCACACAACAAGGGGCCAGACACTGTAACGTGTAAATGCCGCACCCACAGTGGACGAGTTTCAACGGCGTTGTAGAAACTGTGTCACTCACAAGGGAGCCCCCATAAAGAGTTCAAACAACTTGCCAAGGCCCATAGCGGCAGTGGAACACAGTTTTGGACAATATCAACTTGATGTAGCCAGCTCTTTGCTTAATTGCAACAAATGAAATCTCGTCCGAAAATCTCATCCATGCCATTGCTTTCATGGTAATCTCGTACAACTTCAACTTTCACTACTTTTAGGGAGTCTTCATTCTCACGAAGCTGGCGGGTTTTCTTGCCTTCTTTGACTATCTTTGACTGACCAAGGCTTCGCTTTTTGACTTAAAGGCACCTAAAATAATCGTAAACTGCGCCTTCAAAGACATCTGGAAGTTGGAATAGTAGTGTGCGTTAATGAATTCAAGAGAATTTCTTGAAAAATCTGAAGACGAAATTGCAAATTTAAAGTTAGAAGTGAATTAAAACTAGGTTGCGATACGTGGAATTTTAGAAAGCAGTAGATTAAATACTTGTTTTCCGTCAACATTGTTAAGGCCTTACAATTAAAACAAACTGATACGGCTTTCCAGTATGCCAGTGCAGCCTTGTGTAAGCTGGAAGCCCCACTATGCTCATTTTAAAAGTTTAAAAAATATAACTTCTGACGAACTCGGCAAACTTCGAGATCTCTCCTTGACGTCTTACTATCCTCACGAGCGCAAAAATTTAACAAAATATAGGGGCAGAGTTTCTGGGGTGCCAAAAATGAGTTCGTTTTTGATTTTGGATGCAGGATGGCGAATCATTCTGCAGTGGATGCAGTCAGAAAAAAAGAAAAATAAAGAGGACGTTGAAAAGGACGCTGGCTGGTGCATCTTAGATTTGGTTTAAGATTAATTATAAATAAATTTGCAAAATAAATGAGAATACAGTTTAAAAACACATAAACTTTCACTTCATCTCAAAAGGGCATCTGCTCGTTATGATTTTAAGGAAAGCGAAGTGATTAGGAAGTTATGGATACGGTCGATAAGAAAGAGATTCATGATGGTTGTAGGGCAAAGTTAATGGGTGCTTAGAGTATTTCGAACTGGTGAGATACTCCAAATTCTAAATAAAAACGACGAATATTCAAGAATTTTGATCGCTGCAGCACATTCTTACAACATTATATTCAAGTTTTCTTTTATAATAGTATTATACCGTAAGTGATTAGAGTTGTGAGTTCTCTGCAAACTCAAAGCATCATTGGAAGCTACTCCCAAGCCAATTGTGGGCCCCTACGCCACACGAACACTGGGGAGGTCTCCAAATGGCTGTAAAAACTAAGAGATCGGCAGTGACACATGATAACAAGGTATACAATATTGTTCGCCTTACCGTAAACGACTCCCCTTCGGGTATAGCCATGACAATAGTGAGAAGCAAAGAAAGCACAGACCAAACCACAAGCATCTCTGGGTCGTTCGTCAGCTGTCGGCCAACGACGCCGCTTTTTCATCAACGCCCATCTACAGGAGCGACGAGTTTTTTATTCCATTTCTCTGCTGTTCGACAAAGCGGCTCGTTGACTTTGAGATGGTCAGCGACAAAAGCGAAGCGCGAATTGCCCCAGCCTCAGGGTTAATATATGGGAACGGAACGATTTCGGGATCATTGTCCGTAAAGTGGTGAAGGCCTTGGAATGATTGGTCACCCAGAAAACCGGATTGGATACAATCGTTGAACGCCCTTCCTTTTTTTGAAACGCGTCTAAATATCCCAACGTGTTCGGGCGAAAAAAAAGTGTGAAAATGAAGTTTGTCGTCTATCAAAGCTATCAATTTGAGTGGTTTTCGGTCAACACATATGAAAAGCCGGTGAGAGATAAAGTGGGAAGGGGAAATTCCCTCTGGCTATATGCTCAATAAGTGACCCATGATAACAAGAAAAAAGTGGTGGCCTCATTCCAAGTGACCTTTTCAAGGTATGCGATCTCCTGGCTGGTGAGCTTCCCTCAGGACTACTATAAACCCTAGAAAGCGGGCTAGTGGTGAGACCGAGCGACTGACGTATTTCAAAGCTCGTTGAGTTGTCAAACTTCACGGGAGTTGGGTTCTTGTCCTGCTCTGGATGAGAAGCACTGGGCATTTAGCTTTCCATTCAATCTTCCTTCTTCAATCTTCCATCTTTTCTCACCATTCCTGTGGTGACAACGACACTCCCTTGCGAACATGGGGACAATCGCTAGAAGCAAATTTTTTATTTTATTTTTTTCTCGTATATTTCTTTTTGAGGTTGATTTCAAGGGGTTTCACCAACAACAACAGTTCGGTCTAGTCCATAACGGACGGGATTGATCCGATCTTTCCCATGACTAACTTACAAACCAGTTATTTACGATGCCTAGTAGGGCTGACGACAATCCCGTGTGTAAGGAAGCGCATGGTACAGAGTCTCATAAAAAACTGAGACTGAACGAATTCTTTCAGTAATACCTTAGAAGAAAGCTCAAGGTCAGGAGTATATGGAGTCATTTGACCTGTTCGACTCCCGTCGATGAACCTCGGCGTAGTTCCCACACCTCGTATACTGTTGAATAAGAACAACTTGTATTTGACAAAAATGTAGGCCGTTTGTACAGTCATTCTTTTGGCAATTCAGAACAACTGAAGTACATATTCTTCGAAATCGTAGGTGTAGATAGAGGGTTCCAAAAGCAGACAAAAGGATGAGTAGACGACGAACTAGCTCGAGAGAGAATCAAAGGGAGGGGCGGATAGCGCATAAAAAATAGATTGTTCCAATCGATAGTCAAAACGAGAGACGTTAAAAGGTTTTTATTGAAGCTATCATTTTTTACAATTTCTGTAAGCAAAAAAGACCCCAAGAATTGACTATCGACTATATGGGCCTCGTCTCTAGGCGAGTAGGCTTTTTAATAGAAGTAATGAATAATTTATAGGTGTAACTAGATGACCACGCATGTTTTCCCACGCTTTACTGATGTTTGGTTTTCCAGGGTAGAAAAACAGGTGTTAGTTAGACATACGATATCTTCAGGGAGTATCACAACACCGACATTCCCACTATACTGTGATGGGATGAGAGTAACTTCATAAGGCCTTAGAGAATTAGCCACTACTCAGATAAGCTAGTAAGTTTATCTACCTGCGCTTATCTGATTTTGAACGATTGGTCACGATTTATTCAATGAAGTTCACTGCATTCAGGATTTGAGCTTGAAATTGAAGTTCTTCAGAGGATTGAAATTAAAATCGGATCAATAAAATAAATCTTTTGCGGAAATGAAGAAAATCTCCCCTAAGAATAGGCCGATCCTGGAACTTTTTCGTTGGAACTATGATTTATAGCATAGCCATAGATAGAATCCAGTTTAGAATTGAGTTCTCCAAATGTCTCCTGGGGTTTTCTTTCGGCGTGAAGTTCTGCTTTACGATAAGACTCGTTCACATGCCATATTTGGTCCGGATAGC